TTTTATGTCTTGTATTTTTGTTCCTCTAATCCTTTGTTACTGCCTTCTTTTGTGTTAAACATTTTCTAGTGTAACATTTTTTTTTTAATTTTTTATTTTTTTAAAATTTGGTTTTTGGCTACGCCCCGCAGACGTACAGGATCTTAGTTCCGTGACCAGGGAATTAGCACCAATACGTTTCATCCAACTGGACATACAGAGATATTAGGGAAAGCTGTTCTGAAATGTGCCTATCTGGCCAGTCTAAGCTCAGGTGACATTTGTTCACTCTAGTCTTCCCTGATATTCTCCAAGTGCCTTAAGATCAGGAATTCATCTTTGTGTTTCTTGTTGAGCTTTGTATGCAGGTGTTTAGTTGAATTATGGGCTTTACAAGGAGTTATTTTGGAGTCTTTCTTTCCCAGGTGAGATTTTTAAGCTCTTCTGAAGAGAAGAGTCATATTCCTTTTTTTCCCACCTTTAATTTTCCTTTGTTGTTATTTTCTCTATTTTCATGTTTGGAAGCCTCACTTTGGTCTGTACTTCTTGCCTGTTTCCAATTTTTTATATACTAAGGTCACTTGGATTTGGATGTTGCTGTTCATTAATAATATGTATTTGTATAGACATTTTTCCCCAGTAAGTTTGTATATATTGTTTTATTTGGTCATCCTGGTAAATGAATTAAATAGGAGGAAATTAATGTCTCAGGTTTGTGAAAATCTTTACCCATGATACCTTTAATTTAATGAAACTATTTTTTATTTGTGTTTCTTAGTGACTTTTTTTAATCATAGTTTTGGCATAGTTTCTAAATGGTATATCATATGTGTGGCTGTGTATTACATTTTCAGTATTCCATAACTTCATCTGCACTTTGCATATTTCATGGAGTTTTCAGCATAATTTGTTTAACAGGTCCCTTGTTGGATGTTAACTTTTTTTTTAAAAATTGAAGTATAGGTGATTTACAATGTTGTGTTTCTGGTGTACAGCGCAGTGATACAGTTATACACAAACACATTCCTTTTCTTATTCTTTTCTAATTTAGTTTATTACAAGGTATTGAATATAGTTCCCTGTGCTATACAGTATGACCTTGTTTATCTATGTTATGTACAGTAGTTTGTATCTGCTAATCCCGAACTCCTAATTTATCCACCCCCTCTTTCCCCTTTGGTAACTGTAAGTTTGTTTTCTATGTCTGTGAGTCTGTTTCTGTTTTGTAAATAAGTTCATTTGTATCATTTTTTAGATTCCACATATAAGTGATATCATATGATATTTGTCTTTCTCTAGGTCCATCCAGGTTGCTGCAAATGGCATTACTTCATTCTTTTTTATGGCTGAATGGAATTCCATTTTATATGTATACCGCATCTTTATCCATTCATCTGTCGACGGACATTTAGGTTGCTTCCATGTCTTGGCTGTTGTAAATAGTGCTGCAGTGAACACTGAGGTGCATATATCTTTTGAAATTGGAGTTTTTTTCTGGATATTTGCCCAGGAGTGGGATTGCTGGATCATATGGCAACTCTATTTTTAGTTTTTTGAGAAACCTTCATAGTGTTTTCCATAGTGGCTGCACCAATTTACATTTCCACCAACAGTGTAGGAGGGTTGTTCCCTTTTCTCCACACCTCTCCAGCATTTATTATTTGTAGACTATTTATTCATTCATTCATTCATTCATTCATTCATTTATGGCTACATTGGGTCTTTGGTGCTGCACGCAGGCTTTCTCTAGTTGCAGTGAATGGTGGCTACTCTTCGTTGCAGTGCATGGGCTTCTCATTGTGGTGGCTTCTCTTTGTTGTGGAGCACAGGCTCTAGGTATGTGAGCTTTAGTAGTTGTGGCTCCTGGGCTCTATAGCGCAGGCTCAGTAGTTGTGGCACATGGGCTTAGTTGCTCCGCGGCATGTGGGATCTTCCTGGACCAGGGCTCGAACCTGTATCCCCTGCATTGGCAGGCGGATTATTATTATTATTATTTTTTTAATGTAGAATCTGATCCATTCTTTTTTTTTTTCTTCCAATTTTTATTTTTATTTTTATTTATTTTTGGTTGCATTGGGTCTTCATTGCTGTGTGTGGGCTTTCTCTACTTGTGGCAAGCAGGAGCTGCTCTTCCTTGTGGTACGTAGGCTTCTCATTGCGGTGGCTATTCTTGTTGTGGAGGTGCAGAGCATGGGCTCTAGGCATGTGGGCTTCAGTAGTTGTGGCACGCGAGCTCAGTGGTTGTGGCTCGCAGGCTCTAGAGTGCAGGCTCAGTAGTTGTGGCGCACGGGCTTAGTTGCTCTGTGGCCTGTGGGATCTTCCCGGACCAGGGATCGAACCCTTGTCCCCTGCATTGGCAGGCGGATTGTTACCCACTGCGCCACCAGGGAAGTCCCTGTAGACTTTTTAATGATGGCCATTCTGAGTGGTGTGAGATGGTACGTCATTGTAGTTTTGATTTGCATTTCTCTAATAATTAGTGATGGTGGGCATTTTTTCATGTGCCTGTTGGCCATCTGTATGTCTTTGGAGAAATGTCTATTTAGATCTTCTGCCCATTTTTTGATTGGATTGTTTTTTGTCATTGAGTTGTAGGAGCTGTTTGTATATTTTGTAATATAGAGTCACATTGTTTGCAAATATTTTCTCTCATTCCATAGATTGTCTAGGATGTTAACTTTTTGTTGTCATAAATAACTGCTTTAGATATCTTTGTACAGTTCTTTTACTTTTTTGGATTATTTCCTTTGGGTTAAAATATTAGGAGTAGAATTAATAGTTATTTTCATTTTCATGGTTCGTGGTAGAGCAAGTGTTTATTTCCTGGTTTTATTATGTCTTAGGGTGCTGATGCTGAATTAACTGACTTGTTTAAGGTGACACAATTTGTGATAGAGTCAGAAGACAGCTCATTACTGCTTTGTGTGATTCTGGCTTCTGACTTTAAGCAGTACCACTCATGGTCTTTCTTATCCATCTGTTATTGAAGGCTTGTGTTTTATGGCTTTAATTCCTGATCACTGATATATTCCTGATACATTACTACTACAATCACTTTGTAGTAGTAATATATGGCAAAGACAGAACCAGTATCATGTCATAGATTGATTATGGCTGAATTTGTCATAAAGCATGTAATAATCATGGGGTTTTATTGTTATTGGATAGTAGTTGAGAGTTTGGGATCCTGAGTTGGACTGCCCAGGTTTGAATCCTGTCTCTGCCACCTACTACATAACTATATGACTATAGGCTTATAGTAACATAGGAGTAATAATATAGTATCTACCTTAAGAGGATTGAAGGAGGAACAGTGCCTGGTATATAGCAGACATCAAGTAAATGGTAGTACATTTAAAGTCGTTTAGGACTCAGATAAATAAGCAAGTCCATATTTATCAATGATTGCCAAATAAATGATTACAAATCAGATTATATCAGAAATTTATGGGAACCTACTCAAATTGTAGTTTTCAGTACAGGGGCATGTAAAAGAGTTTTCTATCCCATCTTGGTATCATGGTTTTAAAGTTTCAAAGCCAACTAGCTCTGAAGTAATTTTTTTTTCTGATAACTTACAGAATGATAACAGGCAAAAATGGCCCCTTGGGGCTTGCTTTTCAAAAAAAATGTTTTAAAAGCTGTAGTTTCTGTCTCATTTCCGAGTAGCTCTATATACATGAAGAACTAATGACACTATTTTCAATAAGGGTATTCTGTGAGATTTACTTCTCTCTGAATGCACAGTCTTAAAGTTGAATGGTAACTTACAAATCATAGAATTGAGTCCAATACTTTGATATCCTTGAGCCCCAGGTATTACTCATCATTTTTATTTGAATGATTGCAGTCAATTCATTCAGCATTTTCTTTATTGGACACTTAGTATGTACTAGGTGGGTACTGTTTTAGGCATTAAGGAGGGACGACTGAGTCTGAGGGAGGAACTCACTAAGCCTTTTTTAGGACATAGCATTTATAGAAAATCATAATATTTGTATGCCCCCTTGGAGTAAATGGAGTAGGTTGTCCTTTGTCCAAGTACCTTAGGTGCTGCTTTTAGCTACCCAGAAACAGCTCAGCACATGTGAACTCCTTTGTGTGGTTTATGGCTGGAGGGGAGCTCAGTCCTACTAAACACAAAGCCATCTTCCTCTCAGGGCAGGAGACCTCTGTACTGTTGATGGGGTGTTAAAGGCATGGGTATGGGTTTAGAGCTGAGATGGAAGCATTTGGATTGCAGATTAATTAGGTATTATTTTTGGAGAAAAGATGCAGCCAGGGTCTCTGCATTGGATATGTCCAGGGAGCTTGATTCATATTGTGTTGTGCTTGAATGGTATCCCTTGGAGTTGGGCAGTGTACTGTTCTGGATGCAGCCTCTCTTGCATGTCCTGGGAAAAATATGTCAGTTGTGCTGACACTGCCAGAATCTAGCCTGTAGCTTTCAGGATTATTTCAGTAGGCCATTATTGTTAATTAATTAATAAGAATGTCTGTGTTTGAGAAGGATGTAGAGTATCACCTGCAGAAGGTACCACAGTCTCCCCCTCCCCCAGTTTATTGAGATAAAGTTGGCATATAACACTGTAGTGGTATCAGAGTCTCTTGACATTGTTAAATTTCTTCCCCTCCCCACCCCCACCCCCCACCCCTGTTGTGTTGTGATCCAAGGACTTGGGCAAAGATATCTTTTCCTTGGGATGATTCTGTTTATCTATTATTTCAGTTTTTAGCTCTTTAAAAATGTGAAATAGCTTATTTATTTTCCTCGAATGTAGGTAGTTTACTTATGTAAAGCAAATGTAAATTGAGAGCTACTACTGACTTTATAAAGGGCTGTGTTATAAATAGTTAAGACAGTAATTTTTAATTGTACTTATTTTGTAATTGTGGTAAAGCTGGAGTGTTTTCATCTAGTATTCATTGGTAATGCTTTCTCAGAAGGCTAGTGGAAAGATGATATGTTGTTTCAAAAGGTTCTGATTTTTATTGATGCCCCATGTTTTGTCTGTCTCAAGTGTCAGCCCAAGAAAAAGGCTACGCCACTGAAGTATGAAGTTGGAGATCTCATCTGGGCAAAATTCAAGAGACGTCCTTGGTGGCCCTGCAGGATTTGTTCTGATCCATTGATTAACACACACTCAAAAATGAAAGGTAATACTTGCAGTTGATTACATGATAAAATACAGTATGGAATTATCAACTTGCAGTTTCCGTTAGTAATAATTCATTCTTACCTTTGAGCATTTTGTTAATGAATTGTTATTATGTATTTTATCTTTTCTGCATTTTTTTTTAAGGTTTGTTTTATTTTACTCTATGATTTAAAAATTCTTAATTATTCTATCTGTAGATGCCAGAAACTGTTAGGCTTATTAGCTAAAGTCTTCATTGTCCAGAATCACTTTTCAGTATATTTATGTTTTTCTACTTCAGTCTTGAGGTTTGTATCATTTTTGTTAGTTTTAAAGCTGAAACAGTTATAAAGATTGCTTATAAGTCATTTTGAATTTTAAAGTCTTGATTTAGACTATTCTCTATAGTTACTAAAGTTTGTTACTTATTTGGTTGTTCTGTATGAATCTTACGTGTCTTAACTTTAAAATGGTATAAGATAAGGGCTCAGACTTCATTTTGAGCTCCCTTTTTTCTGTTAAGATAGTTTGTGATTTTATTGTAGTTTTAATATATGTGTTTTAGGTTTTAAATTTGTTATATATGCACAAGATTAAAAAAGTCTTTGGTCTGCCCCACTCTTTACCTCTCCTTTCAAAAAGTAACCAGTTGTTATTAATGTTTCTTTCTAGACTTCCTTTATGTAAATCCAACTATATAGTTTCATCTCCCTACCCCCTTTGATTTAATTTAACGTAAACATAACATATTGTATGTATGTTCTACAGGGTTTTTTGGGGGGGGGTTAAAATTTTTATTTATTTAATTAATTTTTATTTTTGGCTGTGTTGGCTCTTTGTTGCTGTGCACAGGCTTTCTCTAGTTGTGGTGGGTGGGGACTATTCTTTGTTGCAGTGTGCGGGCTTCTCATTGCGGTGGCTTCTGTTGTTGCGGAGCATGGGCTCTAGGTGCATGGGCTTAAGTAGTGGTGGCTGACGGGCTCTAGAGCGCAGGCTCAGTAGTTGTGGCACACGGGCTTAGTTGCTCTGCGGCATATGGGATCTTCCCGGACCAGGGCTCGAACCCGTGTCCCCTGCATTGGCAGGCGGATTCTTAACCACTGTGCAACCAGGGAAGCCCCTGTTCTGCAGTTTTTTCACTTCTTTCACTTTTTGGAGAGTTTTCCATTGAAAACTTTTTTTTTTTTTTTAAGCAGGTCCATAATTTTCCTCTTTTTGAATATGGTGTACTTTATATAACCATTACCCTGTTGATGGATATTTAGGTTGTTTCTAATCTTGTTTTAGAAAGATTACACATAAAATACATACATATATACATACACACGTGTGTTTGTGTGCGTACAAAACAGTGCTATAAGTAATAACTGTGTTTCATGTATTCATGTTTATTTATCTGTAGGATAACTTGCCTAAAGTAGTATGTTGGATTTTATTTTATATTTTGAATATTAATAGTGAAGTGCCCAAAGACCTTTATAGCTCACTGTTTAAAGAAAATGATATCAAACTTTGTGACCTGTTTGGACATTTAAATTCTACTAGTAGAAAATTCTTATAGTCCTCCCCCTCTACCCTTCCTATGCCTGTGAGACTGATGGTTTCTTACTCATTGTGATATTCTTTATATGCACTAGTTGGGTCTGTGCCATTTGTTCAACAAGTAATAAGTACATTCTATAGGTACTATGCTAGGTATTGGGATCCAGTAATTGGCAAAACATTTTGCTTCCCTTTGTGTATAATTAGAGTCCAGTTAAAGGGTGAAGGCACCAGCAAGTAATCAGACAAACAGATAGTTAACTGAGAGGTGTGTTCAAGGCAAAATATTGATGTACAGTCACTGATATTAGTGGGGGTACCTAACCTGGACTTTTGGTTCAGGGGTAGTCAGGGCCAATTTTGCTAGTAAAATTATCTTTGATCTGAGACCTGATAGGACAAGTAGGAATTAACCAGGGAAAAAAGATGGTTCCAAGCACAGAAAGTAGTATATGTTCAATCCCTGAAAGGGCTGCCGCCCATGGACTGATGGAAGGTGGTACAGTATGAGGCTGGAGAAATAGATATGGGTCAAATCATGCAGCATTTTGTAGACTTCATTAACAATTTTGTATTTTTTCCTAAGAATAATAGGATACCATTAAAGAGCTATGAGCAGAGGGAGATGTGATCTGATTTGTGTTTTTTAAAGTTCACTCTGAGTGCAGTGTGGAAAATGATTTGGAGAGGGACACAAATCAGAGGAGATAATCAAAAGGGTCATTGCAGGGATTATGGTGAGATTATAGTTGTGAATAGGGAATGAAGAACTATTTAGGAGATAAAATCTATATGATTTGCTAATGGACAGATAATGGGGAGTGAGGGAGAATGAAGCCTAAGGTTTCTATATCTCAGGCTGGTTCCCAAGTTTTTAGTTTTACCAGTACATACATAGTGTTCTCATTTACTGAGAGCACTGGAACATCTATAACTTGGAGGTGACATCTGCTTCTTGATATTAGTCAAAGCCATGGGTAGGGCATGGATGAGATGGCCTTGGGATAAAATATACGGTGAGATAAAAGGTGGCTCCGAGGAAGCTAACATTTGAGGTCTGTAAGGAGGAGACTTGAGTGTGCAAAAGAGATGGGAGAAAATCAGAGATGGAAGAGAAATACCAGGAGAATATGGTATTGATGGTGACTAGAGTTTTGTTGTTGTTGTTGTTGTTTGCCGCTGCGTGAGGCATGTGGGATCTTAGTTCCCTGACCAGGGATGGAGCCCACGCCCACTGCAGTGGCAGTGTGGAGTTTTAACCACTGGACCACCAGGGAATTCCCTAATAATAGTTTTTAAAAAGATTCTTCTTAACTTGGTTTATTAGAGCATAGAATTAGTGTGGCTCTTTATAGTACTGAAGGGAACTGATATTTGAATAAACCTATTGTCCTAAAATTCCTACCCATGACTCTGTCTTCCTGACACCTTCTGTTCATAACCACTCTTGGAGGAATCATCAACTTTCTCCACTTCCAGATGGCCACTCGTTTCTGAACGCGCTGAAATTTCTCATTCTCTCCTTTTATTCCACTAACCTTGTTCTAAGCAGAGTCATTAGTGACCTGGTAATACAGTGGATACTAGTTTTTAATTTTTTGGTTGTCTGGTGCAGGAAAATGCTTCCTCGTAGTAACTATCTATCTTGTTCTTGGCTTTCATGTTCTCTTCTCCTCCTTCTCCTTCTCCTTCTTTCCATCCTTATTAACTCTTGAGTTTTAACTGTCATCAGTAAACTGAATTCATATCCACAGTGCTAGTGTTTCCCCAGGCTTCAAATCTGCATCCCAGCTCTATACTTGAAGCTTTCACCAGGAGGTCCTTTAGGCAGTTCAGGTCAGCTTGTTTAAAACTGACCTAATTATTTTCCTCCTCAAACCAGTACTTTCTCTTTCATTTCCTGACTTAGTGAATAAATTACTGCCACTTAGCCACTTAAACCAAATACCAAGTAGGTACCCTTTCTTCCTTCTTGTGTCCTATACCATTAAGTCTTTTTCTTTTTTTTTTGTTTTTGTTTTTGTTTTTTGTGGTACGCGGGCCTCTCATTGTTGTAGCCTCTCCCGTTGAGGAGCACAGGCTCCGGACGCGCAGGCTCAGCAGCCATGGCTCACGGGCCCAGCCGCTCCACGGCATGTGGGATCCTCCCGGACCAGGGCACGAACCTGCGTCCCCTGCATCGGCAGGCGGACTCTCAACCACTGCGCCACCAGGGAAGCCCCTTTTTCCTTTTTTTAAAACAGCTTTATTGAGATGTAATTCATATAGCATACAATTCACCCCTTTAAAGTATACAGTTAAGTGGTTTTGGTAAGTCACAGAGTTGTGTAACCAGTAACTTTTAGAACATTTTCATCACCCCAAAAAGAACCCCATGGGGACTTCCCTGGTGGTCCAGTGGGTAAGACTCCACACTCCCAATGCAGGGGGCCAGGATTGATCCCTGGTGGGGGAACTAGATCCCGCATGCATGCCAAAACTAAGAAGTCCGCATGCCACACTAAAATATCCCGCGTGCCACAATTGTGAGCTGCATACCACAACAAAGATCCTGAGTGCCGCAACTAAGACCCGGCGCAGCCAGATAAATAAATAAATATTTAAAAAAAAAAAAAAAAAGAGGAAGAGGAAAAGAAAACCCATGTCCTTTACCTTCCTTCCCCCTAATCTTTTTTACCTCCCGTACCCCTTTGCCCTAAGCGACCAGTAGTCGACTTTCTGTCTCTATAGATTTGTCTATTCTAGATAGTTAATATAAATGGAATCATATAATATGTCCTTAGTGACTACTTTTTTTACTCAACATAATGTTTTTAAGATCTATCCATGTATCAGTGCTGCATTCCTTTTTTTTTTTGGCTGCGTTGGGTCTTAGTTGCGGCACAGGGGATCTTCCTTGAGGCACACGGGATCTGTTGTTGCAGCAGCGTGAGGGCTTCTCTCTAGTTGTGGCCTGCGGGTTTTTCTCTCTCTAGTTGTGGTGCGCGGGCTCCAGGGTGCATGGGCTCCGTAGCTGTGGTGCGCAGGGTACAGAGCACGTGAGCTCTCCATTGTATGAAATATTATACATGTTTTATTTATAAATTTATCACTTTATGGGCATTTGGACTGTTTCCACCTTTTAGCTATTATGAACAGTGCTGCTGTGAGTATTCATGTATAAGTGTTTATGTGGACATATATTTCCTATCTTTTGGGTTTATACCCAGGAGTGGACTTCCTGGCTCTAATGGTAACTCTGCTTGACTTTTTGAGGTACACACACACACACACACACACTCACACTCACACTCACACTCACACTTCCGCCCTGGCTGCACCAGCTTGTGGGATCTTACTTAGTTCCCCAACCAGGGGTGGAATTCGGACCCTGGCAGTGAGAGTGCCGAGTTCTCACCACTGGGCCACCAGGGAATTCCCTGACTTCCTTTTATTTAAATTTTTATTTATTTATTTTTGGCTGTGTTGGGTCTTCAT